CATGCCTCATAAATCGTCTCGATGTTCAAATTTTAATGAAGTTCCTCATCTTTCTTCTCCTCTTCTTCCTCCTTCCTCTCGTCATCTTAATTAAATGTATCAAAAATCGTCTCGATGATCGATTTTAACGATAACTCTTATCATCATAATCGTAGTAGCCGTCGACGTCGTCTTCACGTTTTCAAATCTTTATGATGATCAATTCTTATGCTGATTCTTATCGTCATCATCATTATGTTATCGTACCTCAAAAATCGTTTCGGGGTTCAATTTTAGTGACATTTCTTATCCTCCTTATAATCATTATCATCGTCGTTTTTAAATCTCAAAGATCATCTTTGATCATTTTTCACGCGATTCTTATCCTCCTCCTCATCATCGTAATATCAATCCAAATCTTTGTAAATCGTTTTGACGATCGATCAATTTCATTGATGATTCTTATCTTCATCATCATCGTCATGGTATCAAAATTTAAAAATCATTTTGTTAATCGATCTTCATAACGATTCTCATCATCATCATCATACGACTTATTTGGAAAAAAGATTCCCGAGTCGTTTCCAAATTAATTTTTAAGGCCCCCTTTTTAGTAATTTTAAAATAATTTAATTAAAGCGTCCTATTTTAAATTAAACTTTTTTTTTTCTTTCTTTCTTTTTTTTTTTCCTCCCTATTTTTCCACCTATTCGTTTTACTTTTAAAATGTAAATAATTGATTTTATTAATCCCGTTGTTTGTTTGTTTCACTTTCTAACATTGGTCGATTCGGTCGGTGACGTCACTGACGAACATTTTCCATCCGGGACACCCGGATAGACACGAGACGTTTCGAGTGAAAAATGGTGGACCGGAATCGAGAGAACCTTGGCGCCGTCTGACGTACAGACGATGAAAGAACTCTCTCGTGGCAATTCTTATTTTTCGAGTCTCGACGAAAGGTAGTTCTAGTAAAGGATTTGTTGTAAAAGCAACTAGTTCTACCGCCTGTCAGATTCAATTTGAATCCAATTCGATAATTCGACATTTTCCATAACTCAAACATTAAGCGTGCAATACCACCGATGACTACGGGGGGATAACCCGTCCGTAACTTGCAAACGTGCAATTTTTCACATCTTCCGACACTTTTCCCTCGTTGCTCCGAAATACCACAACATTTTTCTAATTAGATAATTGCAAAAGTTGGAATTTTCACGCCTCGTATTGTGCTCCTCTTTATATTTTTTGGTAGGGGAGTTCAGAAATTGACACGATTTTTGGTTCCTTCCACGGGCGAATTGCTTCAAATTAATTTAACCAATGTTGTTGGTTATTTATGTAGTAGTACCATTTGGTTGCAATCTGTTGTTCTTGCACTGCACGATTTTCAAAATATTGGGCTTTCAATCGTCACTTAATTTGAAACATCGTTTAGAGCGCGAAATTTACCACTTTTGCTGTTACAAAATACATGGAGAACCAACTGTTCCTTCGGGTGCTATGCGCTATTACATCTCACCAATATTTTAAACATTGAGAAGTGCGTCGATAGTAAATTTTACAAGAGCTCCTATATAAACAATGCGATCGGCGATCGAGTGAGTGGGCGATGCTCGTGCATTCGGTTCAGAGATGGACCCGCACGTCGTGTTTCCAACTAGAATACGATCCGCCTGGACTCTCCATTGCCAAAATTAGGATGCGGGAGATGCAGCTTCATCATCCACTTCGCCCCTATCGCCGCCTTTATAATCACGTTGTAAGTTATAAATATTAATATACCGCCTCATAATATTGAAAATTGGAAACTCCAATATCAATTAACATCACGGTTCTTAATATTCGTGATTTTTAGTAAGTTTTCGTACTCTGGTAATAATTTTTAATGGTGTCCGAATTATCGGGACAGTTTCTCTGTTCAGCATTCTCTCTTCTCGATTATCGAAATCCTGAGAATAAGATTTAATCCTTTCGTAGTTGAAGATGTTTACATCGGAACAGGAGGATCAAGATCAACCCTTTTACCTCCGGAACTAACGATAGGCGCAACTTCGTTCTGCTCCAACTTCCTCTACGACGCACATGTTTGAAGCTTCGATAGTGTTGGTTGCCATGACAACGCCTCTACGACGCCCATGTTTGAAGCTTCGATAGTGTTGGTTGCTATGGCAACGCCTCTACGACGCCCATGTTTGAAGCTTCGATAGTGTTGGTTGCCATGGCAACATTATACTACACTATTATTTATATATATTATTTCTATTTATTCTACAGATATCACAAAACCCCATACGAATATAACNTGGTTTATCTTATACTATAGGCTCGTTCGTCTATTGTTAATAGGGTTCGCGCTTAGTTTCGGATTTACTCCGAGAAAAGTAATCAATTCGGACGGTCGAGCGTGGCTTCGTATATTTTCAATGGAAAAACGATTGCTTTTAGAAAATAAAGCAGCATACCAGGTGTATAAGCTTAAATCCGCTGTTTGCTAATAGATGGCATAAGCGAGCGTATTAAGTTACCATGACGACGCCATATTGTTTTTTGATGATTTTGATATCTGTCAACATTAATCAATGCACATCATCAAATATTTCATACAACAACATATATTTTTCTTTTTGTAATCATGTCTACTTTTGTGCCAGGAAAAGAGCATATGCGGCAAGCTTTGCTTTTCTGCTTTAATTTGAAGAAATCGGTTGCCGAAGCACATCGAATGCTTGTAGAGGCTTATGGAGACAGAGCTTTATCGGAAACCACGTGCAGAGATTGGTTTCGTCAGTTCAAAGATGGAAATTTTTACCTGAGCAACAAGAAGCGTGAAAATTGGCCCAGGAAGGTTGAGGACCATCAACTGCAGGCTCTTTTGGATGAGGACGATACCCAATCGCAAAAAATGCTTGCCGAGCAATTGGTTGTTACTCAACAAGCCATTTCCATGCGTCTACGTGCCATGGGAAAGATTCAGAAGATCAGAAAATGGGTGCCGCATGAATTGAACGATAGGCAGACGGAGCAACGTCAAAACACATGCGAAATCTTGCTCGCCAGACAAAAAAGAAAGTCCTTTCTGTATCGAATTGTAACTGGCAATGAGAAATGGATATATTTTTAGAATCCTAAACGCAAGAAATCGTGGGTTGATCCATGCAAACCATCAACATCTTTCCCAAGACCAAATCGCTTTGGACAGAAGACAATGCTGTGCGTTTGGTGGGATCAGCAGGGTATTGTCTACTATGAGCTGTTGAAACCTGGTGAAGCTGTCAATGCTCACCGCTACCACCAACAACTGATCAAATTGCATTGTGCTCTGCGTGAAAAAAGGCCGGATTATCAGCAAAGACACGACAAGTTGATTTTCCTCACCGACAATGCACCATCGCATGTGTCAACATTGGTCCGAAACTAGTTGGAGACACTCAACTGGGAGGTGCTACTCCATCCCGCTTATTCACCAGACCTGGCTCCTTCCGACTATCACCTCATTTCATCGATGGGCCACGCGCTTGCTGAGCGGCACTTCCATTCTTACAAAGACGTCTGAAAATGGCTTGATGAGTGGTTTGCCTCGAAAGAGAAGAAACTTTTTGGCATGGTATCCACACATTGCCTGAGAGATAGAACAAATGTGTCACTAGTGAGGGAAAGTACTTTGAATAAATTTGTTTTTGCTTTCTAAGAAAAAAACGTGTGTTTTTCTGACTAAAAAACAGCAGATTTAAGCTTATACACCTATGTATATATTATTTTAAACAATAATAGTCGATTTCAATCCAGTGTGATTATTATTACCGATATTATTGACAAAGTTCTTGCGAATTGATTCAAGAACAAATATGTTTAAAATATTAAACGGTACTTTTGCCGGTTTATTATATTATTTACATTTATGAAGAATTATAACTGCCAAATAATAATTAACCTACAGTTTAATAAAGATTTTTAACGTGTCTTTACATAACTATATAATATTTCGAAGTAATGTTAAGTTTATAGAGTTTATTTTTACGTAAAAGCAGTTTTAATGTAATTTTTCGAAACTTTGTATAGTTTAATAATCGATACTACACTATTATTTATATATATTATTCATATTTAAAATACAGATATCACAAAACCCCACACGAATATAACTGATTTTATAATTATATATATTTAAATTTATTTGATTATTACACTGTATTTGTCATTGTGTTTGACTTATAGCCAAAAATGCTTCGTATAAAAAAATTATTTATTGAATTTATCAATTGCACTCTCAGATAATTTACTAAAATAAATTAATAAAAATAAATTAATAAAAATAATATATATAAATAATAGTGTAGTGGATGATGCAGCTTCATCATCCACTTCGCCCCTATCGCCGCCTTTATAATCACGTTCTAAGTTATAAATATTAATATACCGCCTCATAATATTGAAAATTGAAAACTCCAATATCAGTTAACATCACGGTTCTTAATATTCGTGATTTTTAGTAAGTTTTCGTATTCTGGTAATAATTTTTAATGGTGTTTGAAATATCGGGACAGTTTCTCTGTTCAGCATTCTCTCTTCTCGATTATCGAAATCCTGAGGATAAGATTTAATCTTGTCGTAGTTGAAGATGTTTACATCGGAACAGGAGGATCAAGATCAACCCTTTTACCCCCGGAACTAACGATAGGCGCAACTTCGTTCTGCTCCAACTTCCTCTACGACGCCCATGTTTGAAGCTTCGATAGTGTTGGTTGCCATGGCAACATTATACTACACTATTATTTATATATATTATTTCTATTTATTCTACAGATATCACAAAACCCCATACGAATATAACTGATTTTATAATAATATATATTCGAATTTATTTGATTATTATACTGTATTTGTGATTGTGTTTGACTTATAGCCAAAAATGCTTCGTATAAAAAGATTGTTTATTGAATTTATCAATTCCACTCTCAGATAATTTACTAAAATAAATTAATAAAAAGAAGACATTTCATTCATTTTTATTTACAATACTAAACAAAAAGAACCTATTTTAAACAGTAATATTTTGTTACACCGTTTTATAATATACAACCTTTAATTTAATTTTTGTAATTAAAACTTTCTTTTTAAAATATTAAAATAATTGTAATATTACAAACATAAAAAGTATAACACAGAATTAATCAATTATTGCATTCGGTATTAGAAAAAGCGTAACTATAACAACTATAAGCACGCTTCCTTGACTTTTTTTTTACAAGTCACGCAAATATATAAATTTTAATAAGTGAAATATGTTATTTTTTGAAATTTATCTTTTCATCAGACTAATATATCAATACTTCACGCTTTTCGTTAAATCACAAATCTTGTTAGATAGAAATGTACAAAATACGGAGTATACAACAAAATACAGAGTGTACAAAATACAGAGTATGAAAAACATCCGAACGAAACTAGCATATTACATCCAAATGAAAAATAATCATTTGTTAGTTTTCGTACATCGAATTTATTCCCACCAGATGAAAACTAATAAAGCCATAGACAAGGAATTAAGATATTCTTCGCCGTTGCCAAGAAAATTGTAATTTTCAGGTGGATTGATGGATAAAAAATGAGGAAAAGTGCTCGAAGGGAAATAGTTTACAAGAGGAAAAACATCTCTAAAAGCTCGAATTAATGTATCGAAACACTTTTCGCACATGTCATTGAAAATATACGCAAAACATTTTCTCTGTTTCATCTTGGGTTTTGCAGATTTCACATTTTCGAGTTTTTCTTTGAAAGTCTTATACTCAGATTTTCCGAATTTAAAATAAACGGAAATTGCATTTATTTTTTCTCCATAAAAAATAGTCAATCTTTCAAAGTATGGACATATTTTCTTAGCACTGACTGAATTAGTTTCCATCTCAGAAGAATATGAAACTATATCTGTACATGCGATGATACATTTTGTTTCTTCGATCCCTATATTTATTTTGTCGCACAGATACTGTAATATATTCTTTTTGTCTAAAGGGTTACAAAAATTCAGAGAGTGTCCCTTTAGTTCAAGTGGATAATTTAGTATAGTGAAGCCCGGAATATTTGGTACTATTATCAACCGCATTTCTGTACTTCCTTCTGTCAAAGGCAGTTTGGTAAATAGGGGAAAACTGTGCGTAACACCTGGGTCTTCGTCATCTGTATCTGTAATTAAACACGTGGTAAAATTTATTAAATCACCTCTAAATATAATAAGAATTTCATAAGTACTTACAGTCAGATTCTGAATCGATGCATTCCGTGAGCAGCGTAGAAATGTTTTCGTTATCATCGTGCTCGTTCATACATTCGGACGGACATACGGGTTCATCCGCCAAGAAAAACCAATTGTATTGAAAACAATCGTCGAATCCAGTGTACGGACGAAGTATCTCCGGTTCGAACGATATGCAGCTTATTAAGCTAATAGGAATTTCCTGTTTAAAAAATAACAAAAATGTGAAATCTTGGATACCCCTTTATTAATTGAAAGTTTAAATAAGATCAATAACTTTTAGAAATAAGATTTCTGATTTTGATAGAAATAGTTTCATTTCAGAAACAAAGGAAAGTGGTAAAATTCACTTTCTTTTGAACGGAAGAGTTTTTTTTCTGTCGTTTTTCCCTTATCTTCCAAGATTTGAGTCACACAACGAATAGTCACCCCTCTGTAAATCCCTACTCATCCTATTTACGTGGGAAAAATACGATGTTATCATTGGAGGAAAACCTCGAAAAAGGGGATTCTTCGGTATTGTTCGAAGGGTACGCCAGAACTTCTCGATGTAGAAAGACGTATTCGAGTCTCCAAGGACCGCACCCATAGCAGCAGTACGCCACAACTTCTACCAGAGGAAAGACGTATTCCATGCCATCTTTCTATAGCCAACGACCGAACTTGTAAATTGAACTTTTTAATAAAGTGCCTCCTTCAAAGTACAGTCGACCCCCTACAACACTGCTTCCTATAGTTCGGATTTCTATATCATGGCGAAAAAATTGCGAGAGTATTCGTACAAACATGCTAAAGAACTCCTATAATTCGGTAAAACGTCATCGCCGACTCGTGTCGCGACAGGATTGCACAAACCGTTGAGTTTAAACGAGCAGCGGACCTACCGAAAACCATTTATTATTAACGTCCATAAAAATTATATTTATATTAGTGATGTCTCTGAAGTTCAGCGAATTTTTTGCAAAAAAAGTAATTTATCAGGAAGCACGCGAGCACCATTCGATGACAATCTCCACGACGAAAACAAGCTTAAGCAACGTTTTAGTCGAACGGTGCACACTCGGTAAGTAATCCTACAATATTTTGTTTATAGCATAGTTTATACGGATTATTCCCAAAAAATATACGTATTTTGGAAATGTTGAGAGGAATTAGTCTAGAATCGATTAATTTTATGGAAGAAACCTTCCAAAAAGCCGTAGTCCGTAAACTCCATACGTGCCGGGCTGTGATTGGCTGGACTCCTAGAAGCTGGATTCATAAAAACAGGAACGTATTTACCGTGTTATGGAGGGGGGTCGAATGTACTAAAAAAAGGAAGAAAAACTGAACAAGAACCGAGAGTATTANATATCTTACTATTATATATTTACCAGATTAAATACTTGGACAAGCAAATAAGATTACAATAATTCATATATTAAATTCACTAATGAAATTGAAAACTAAAATAAATTATCTACATATTACAATTAAACGTTTTGATAAGCATCTTGAATATAGTAAGTACTAGGGTTTCTCATTTGCCTCCAGCGAGATTACGGGAAAAATAATTTCTTTTCCCGGGATCCCGGGGAATTTCGGGATGAGACAGTAAAATAGAATTTTATATGAATAAAAAATATCATACAGGAATATCATAAATTTGAATAATTTAATTTATTTTCTAGTAAGTAACTAAAAGTGTAGTGCCAATNAACGAATAAAAGTGTTTCATTCACAATATTCTAGTTTAAAAGTTTGTTCTACTTTAATTCAGTCAATTATCCAACATTTGTTTTAATATTTGTAACTTATAGTTGCTGTACACGAATGGTATGTTGTGAGATTCGGATGAGCGAGTTAAACGGGAGAAAAATTGCCTCACTCAGTAATTTGATGTAGAAATATGTGGAAAAATACTTACTCTTTTGATCGTCGTCACTTTCTTATACAAAATTCTGTCGACAACATCTCTCCATCGCCTGCAGACTTTTCTGCATTGATCTAACTCTTCGTCTTCCAAATATTCAAAAATATGATGCAATATTTCTGGCAATTGTGTTACTAAGGCTGCGCCATGTTGATCTATTTGATATATTTTCGTTTGATGAACAGATTCTTCTTCCATTATGGGCACTTTCTACAAATAATAATAATTTATTATCATTCGATGGTGTTTATATTCACTTTAATGAGTCATATATTGTAACTTAAATACTCTTAATTTTACATTGGTTAAAAAGAATAGTTCTTAACCTGCACTAATACGAAATGTGAATGAATTATAAATAGATAGAAATATAACATAAAGTAATTAATAATACCCAATAAAATAAAAAATAACAAACACATTGCTCTACCTACTCTAAAATAATTATTGTTTATCGATTGATCCTTTGTTGATTTACAGTATATATAACTTTCCTACATAACTTTTGCTGTAATTTCTTAGCTTCTACCTGAGAGTTACAGCGAATGGCAAGTCCGTTTCTCATGTCCCTGGTAGTCTTGATGCCTACCCCCAAATGGGATACATTAATATTCGACTGTAAGTCTTCTGACATTGAATATCGACCTTTTTATTCTTTTCAATAGATAAAAAGAATGTTCAAGCTATGCTCAAGCTTTCTCAGTTTTACAACGTCTGAGTACAGACGAACTTCTCTCTCGTAACCCGTTTTAATATTTTTTATTTCTACTTCTCGATTCTTACTTTTTATTTTTGAACATATATTTGTTATATAGACTTTTACACAGCTGCGCTAATGCTTTCAGACTATATAGTGCCGTCTTTTTTAATAGTGTCAAAATTACGAGATTGTTGTAGACAATTTTTAACATCTATATGAGTAATTATTCTTTTTAGGCATACAGTAGAGAGTCGATTATCCGAATCGATTGGGGACAGGGTTGTTCGGAAGATCGATGTTTCGAATTACCGATTATGTACGAAAAAATATATTAATTTATTCCATTTTAACGTTTTTCTCCGTTGCGTGTTAAGCCTCCGTCGCGTTGAATTTTCGTCGATGTTAAGCCTATCGAAGACTATTGTATCGTTAAAAATTATTTTTTTTTATTTTGTACAAACAAAATAAAAAAAATTGCAGCGCCACAGCACTGGCGAAAATTTAAATTTGCCGACTGGAATTCTTTCAGATGATTAACGTTTCGGATAATTGAGTTTCGGATGATCGACTCTCTACTGTATCTCCTTTAAAAGAAACACTATATATAAAGCTAAAATTAACGGAAAAATATTTTTTAACAGAAAAACACTGCCTGCAGCTATATTTATTTTTTTACAAGCCGCGATATAATTAATTTAATAAAAAAAACTGCCATAAAAAAACAATAGCGGACTTAATTATCGAATTAAAAAATTGTCATGAACAATTTCGCGGCAAAAATAATTCGAAAAATCGGCATAGGTCATTGATGACAATGTATATGTACTGGACCATTCATTTTTGGAAAAGTTATAATTAAACTCTCGAGTTATCTCAGGATTGGAAGTTAATGGTTTCCTCGATGCTTTATCATCTTCAAGTAATAACTGAATGCTAGCATTAAGTACCCTTTCAATGTCAGAATTTATATTACGTTTTATAGGAAATTTAGTTTATGTATTATTATTTCATAATAAAATTAGTATTTATTTGTAATTTTTTGTACTAAAATAGAAACCTATCAAGTAACTCAGTAGAATAAGATCATAGAAAAAAAGAAGACACTTACCAAAAGCTGAGCACGTCCTACCAGATAGAGGGCCAGGGGTCGTATTCTGGTCACCGTCTCTCGTCTCTCGCAAGCCGGTCGCTCCAAATGCAAGCCGGTTAATCCAAATGATTAGCCAATCAGCGACCGGCTTGGGAGAGACAAGAGACCAGAGACAGTGACCAGAATGAACTTGAAAGCAGATTAAAGAACAAAAGATTCTCTTAACAATGAGAACTGGTTTCAAATTAGAACACGCCTGAGTGGGCACTCAAACCAAAGAATTTCTAGTGTTTTCTGTTAGATTTGTAATAAATTAAGCTCAATCAATATATCATACGCGGATGTAATAATCTAATAAATCAGATTGAATAAAATTGTAAAAGATGTTGTTCGATAATTATTTATAACTATCGCATTTATTTTATTTTATTAGATTGTTGAGATCGTAGCTAAAAAAGATTGTTTTAATAAAATTTCATTGCCAGTTTTATATGGACAAAAGTTCTTTAAGTATAATTTATTTTAGGTTTACTGATTATAATCGAGTATTTAACATGGGAAAAGCACACTGCCCAGATATACTGGATAAATAATCAAATGCTTTATGGTTAAAATTTGTCAAATTAACACCATTTTCTGCCATTCCTTTGTCACAAACTTGTAAAATAGCCTCTACTCATATACGAGGTATTTGTAGCCTCTAACGTAATTCTATACAGTCAACGTGCATTTGTTAAACACATAGACGAATCTAAGTTTTTCGGCTCTACAGTTTCTTGAAATTTAATAGGGCCAATTTTTCCTTAATGCAAATAATATTATAAATTATAATTATTAGATATTATATTATTAATATTGACTATTTTTTACAGTACGAGAAGTACTCGTTGTGAATGAAAATGTATTAAACATTTATGACGATTATTCAATTTTTGTGGGCCGTTGACACTGGGAGGCCCAAGGATTAAGCCTTAACAGTTCCTATGTACAGTACATCTGCCCTTACTTAAACCCAGTGGCGGCCTTAGAGGGTGGCGAGCAGGGCAATGGCCCGGGGCCTCGTACTTGGAGGGGCCTCGCGCAACAAGCAAGTAGAAAAAAGTTGATATTTAAAACTTTTTATTATATCCTTGGCTATTAGTTATAACAATAAAATAAATTTAATTTATAATACAGTATATATTAATATTAATAAGTGCCTACTATTTTAATTCACATACTTTGCACAAAGGACAAGGGCCTCGCAAAGATCTGCCGCCCAGAGCCTCGCAATGGATAAGGCCGCCGCNGACTCCTAGAAGCTGGATTCATAAAAACAGGAACGTATTTACCGTGTTATGGAGGGGGGTCGAATGTACTAAAAAAAGGAAGAAAAACTGAACAAGAACCGAGAGTATTAAAAGAACTTTATCATATTTCCTAATAAAAAGAAAAGACATCGAAATATAAAGTCAGTGAGGTAGTATGATTCTAAAACGAAGTGTGATCTCTCTCACCGCGAAATAGATAGATTTTTATAATTGTAAACTTCATTTTGTTTTATTTTGTTTGTTAAATGTTCTTTGTTATTTTATTTAAAAATGGCCTCGTTGTTGACTGAATCAAAAGATTTATTTTTCACAATTATAACGCAATTTCTCCGTAGAAACAATTAGAAGTAATCGCGTGACAGTCGGCGTAATTGAGTATCTAGTGTCAACATCGTGACGTGGATCGACTTCACCGTCTATATCGTTATTTACTTTAAATTTCTCCAAAATCAAGTGAGCCAATCTAACGATTGTGTGTCAGTAAGTGACATAGAAAAATCTCTATGCCCTTGGCTACTCACAATAATCACAACAAACGCAAAAGCAGTAAGACAACGAAGTGTTTATGATAATAAATACAAAATAAATCCTATCTTAGAGTTAATTAAATGTGCAAAAAGCTTAAAACACAGACTCGTGTTACTCTTCTTCGATATCAATTTTTTAACTGTTAGTGTTGTTTTTTAGTATAGTATAGGCGTAACATTATAGTATAGGTGTAACATTACTATATGTGATTAGTCAATGCGCATTTACGATGATGATAATTAAAAGAAATACAAATATCGTTATAAGAAAAACGAATAAAAGTGTTTCATTCACAATATTCTAGTTTAAAAGTTTGTTCTACTTTAATTCAGTCAATTATCCAACATTTGTTTTAATATTTGTAACTTATAGTTGCTGTACACGAATGGTATGTTGTGAGATTCGGATGAAATAGTTAAACGGGAGAAAAATTGCCTCACTCAGTAATTTGATGTAGAAATATGTGGAAAAATACTTACTCTTTTGATCGTCGTCACTTTCTTATACAAAATTCTGTCGACAACATCTCTCCATCGCCTGCAGACTTTTCTGCATTGATCTAACTCTTCGTCTTCCAAATATTCAAAAATATGATGCAATATTTCTGGCAATTGTGTTACTAAGGCTGCGCCATGTTGATCTATTTGATATATTTTCGTTTGATGAACAGATTCTTCTTCCATTATGGGCACTTTCTACAAATAATAATAATTTATTATCATTCGATGGTGTTTATATTCACTTTAATGAGTCATATATTGTAACTTAAATACTCTTAATTTTACATTGGTTAAAAAGAATAGTTCTTAACCTGCACTAATACGAAATGTGAATGAATTATAAATAGATAGAAATATAACATAAAGTAATTAATAATACCCAATAAAATAAAAAATAACAAACACATTGCTCTACCTACTCTAAAATAATTATTGTTTATCGATTGATCCTTTGTTGATTTACAGTATATATAACTTTCCTACATAACTTTTGCTGTAATTTCTTAGCTTCTACCTGAGAGTTACAGCGAATGGCAAGTCCGTTTCTCATGTCCCTGGTAGTCTTGATGCCTACCCCCAAATGGGATACATTAATATTCGACTGTAAGTCTTCTGACATTGAATATCGACCTTTTTATTCTTTTCAATAGATAAAAAGAATGTTCAAGCTATGCTCAAGCTTTCTCAGTTTTACAACGTCTGAGTACAGACGAACTTCTCTCTCGTAACCCGTTTTAATATTTTTTATTTCTACTTCTCGATTCTTACTTTTTATTTTTGAACATATATTTGTTATATAGACTTTTACACAGCTGCGCTAATGCTTTCAGACTATATAGTGCCGTCTTTTTTAATAGTGTCAAAATTACGAGATTGTTGTAGACAATTTTTAACATCTATATGAGTAATTATTCTTTTTAGGCATACAGTAGAGAGTCGATTATCCGAATCGATTGGGGACAGGGTTGTTCGGAAGATCGATGTTTCGAATTACCGATTATGTACGAAAAAATATATTAATTTATTCCATTTTAACGTTTTTCTCCGTTGCGTGTTAAGCCTCCGTCGCGTTGAATTT